GTTATATTTAACCCAGCATTTTTTAGAGTGCGAGTTTACATCTCGCAATCGAGTTTATATATCGCAATTCTGATTTTTTCCCCAAAAAAATTCTGATTTACATCTCACAATTCTGTTTTTTTTTCTGTATGGAATAAAAAAAGTAATTGCAACTTAATTTTTTTTATTCTCAGAATTATCTGAAAAAACGAATTGTACACTCTAAAAAATGCTGGGTTGTTTCAACCCAACGTTGGGTCAAATATGGAACTTTAATTAAAACATTTAACCCAACAGCTGGGTTAGTCCATATTTGACCCAATGTTGGGTTGAAACAACCCAGCATTTTTTAGAGTGTAAGATATATACGAACTCAGAATTGCGAGAAAAAAGTTCGAATTATGAGATAAAAAGTCGCAGTTACCTTTTTATTTTTTTTATCCCGTGACGGAAACAACCTTCCATAGATAACACCTTTTAAGTTCTCAATAGTCCTCACAGTAGCTAAACAGCTCACTATTTTTCATGGCCAAATACAACCTTGACTTTATCCTCTTCTTAGCCTTTGGGTATTAAAGCAGCATAAAAAGAGTTTGAGGCCAGAACAAGGAAGGTTTCCAGCTAGAATCATTTGTGGTCCTCTCTTATTTTCATTGCTAAGCTGCTTGTTTTTACATGCGGTTTCTTCTTCAGTAACATTAACAGTGTTAATTACACATCTCTGGTTGTGAAACAACACATGGTTTTTAATCAGCAACCACTGGAAAAGCTTTCTTTTATTGACTGGTACAGAAATGATCGCATTGAATGCCACGGAAAGGGCACGCTTGTTTGAGTAAAATAAAAAAAACGTAATAAAAGATTCCCAAAAATAAAGACATTCCTAATGTAGTAGACTTAAAAGTCTTAATAGACCTTTAGCCACAAACAACGACACAAGAAACCCAGTACTCTAACCACTGCCTTGTTAATAAGTAACAATGACAAACAGCTTCACTAATACACACACTTGATCCCTCTGATTTCAAAAAGCAAATAAAGTTAAATACAAAAATAATAACATGACTCGTGGTGGGTCGAAAGTACAGTATAAAAATCATACAATCAGAAGTGCTCAAATGTGGATGTTACATTTTTTCCTTCTCTCTTCACATGAGGCAAATGCTTTTTTTCTCTAGATGTCTCCTTTAGGAAGTGGTGTAAGGTCGGGAAAAGAAAAACAAGGGAATCGGGATGGAGCTCAGGGGTTGGGAGACTAGGGAGTGGAGAATCATAGGCCCTGTTCTTGATGTGACACGGTGGTCTCAGCAAACACCTCCGTTATAGACATCCCTCCCCCCCAAGCCCCTATTCTCCTGTCGGCTGAAGGAGGGCATCTAGCCCAGGCTGGTGATGTTGGTCCTGCCACCAGGGGGCGCAACAATGCGCTGGGTGTTGCGGCGGGGGATGTTGTCGTCAATCTGAGCACCTGAAATAAGATAAATCAAAAGGAAATCAAATATTTAAACATGATGAACATTCCTGTGAAAGTGTTCAAAACGGTTCACAATAGATTAATGTGAATAGGGCTGGGTTAGGGTTAGGGTAAAACCAAATTGGTTTTATTTTTCAGCTTGTTGACGTTAATACACTCAAAGACTCATCTCCTGAGCCACTGCACAAAGGACCAAAATGTAACCAATACAATAAGTCAGTGCAAATATTAATAAAGCTCAAATAGTCTTCAGTTTACACATCTGTTATAGGCTAAATTTACACTAGTGTGTGTTCGTTTTAAAACGCATAGCTCAGACAGACTCATCATTTCTATTCATTTTCCACTGATTTACTGATGAGCATTAGCAGCTTCCAGCACTGTTTGTCTGTGTTCTCTCTTCCATGATTGCTGTTCTGACTTATTGGCTCGCTGACGTTGATGAGATTAACCCCTTAGTTATTGAAATTTGGTACCGAACAACGAGACGTTTTTCGATACTCGATGGTATCGAGGCAATTTGGTCGGTGCCTAAAAAGTATCGAATTCGATACCCAGCCCTAAATGTGAATGATATAAAAACAACAAATCTCTCACTTAATATTACATTTCTGGCTAGTACTAAGCAAATAAAAATAATATTTTTTTATTTAATAATATTTAATTTATATATAAATATATATCTTTTTTTAATCTCTAATATCAGCCTATATGGTAATGAAATATCATGCATCTCTATTGATTTTTAATTTATATTCTAAACTGCTCACCGGAGAGGCTGAAGCCGGACTGGTGCAGGTTGCGGACCGGTTGATCGGGCTGCTTGGCAGGAGAGGTTTTGGCAGAGGAAGCAGGGGTCATAGCTTTGGGCGTCACTGAGACTTCACAGACCGGCCCGTCGTAGAGACCCCGTGGGACGCCCCTCAGTTCAGCCAGCTACAAAACAACAGTGCGTGATAATATTAATAAAACAGCTAATCTGATGACCTCAAACATTTAGAAAACTACAAACGGTAAGTTTTAATGCAGAAAGAAAACACTTAATAGGCATTAATTGACAAGTATATTAAAAGGCATGAAAATTGAATTTATGAGTAAGTATATTTACAGAATAAATGGGTAATCTATTTATTTATTTTTGGATAACAAACACACACACACACACATACACATACACATACACACACACATGCAATATATATATATATATATATATACTGTATATATAAAATCAGTATTCTATGAAAAAAATGAAAATAACAATAATAATAAAAAATTATAATCTATAATAAAACTAATAACATTCTATATAAAAACAAATTATAATATTCAAAAATCTTACAATAATAATAAACAATAAGCTGAGAAACGTGATAGGCATTAATTGACATTTATATTCATAAGTAATGAGCATGAAAACAAAAAATATAGTATTATAGCATATTTTTAGAATAATAGTCTATAAAAATAAACATCAATATTCAATAATAATAACGATAAACAAAAATAAAAGTAATATTCTATAAAAAAATCTATAAAATAGCAAATGGTAATATTTTGTGATTATTTTATTTATAAAATCTAAAAACAACAACTATAATAAACTAAAATAAACAGAAAATGTATATGTATATGTATATTTTAAACCAGTATTGCATAGAACAAAAATATAAATAATAATAATAGTAGTATTCTATAAAAATTATATTGTAATATTCAAAAACATTTGATAATAATACTAGTAATAATAATCAATATCACAATATGGTCACTAATCGATTGTGTATCCATAAACTTCAGATTTGAAAATCTGATCAAATAAAGGAAGTTGAATGCATAACTCACCCTGCTGCGAGCCTTTATCCTCTTGTAGACATAGTCAGGGAAGGGCTTGCGGGTCACGTAGCGGCCGGATCCCTCAGTGGTGTGGAGGTTCCCATCCTCCAGCACGATCTTTCCCTGGCTGATGACCACCAGAGGCGACCCACGCACCTCAGTGCCCTCGAAGATGTTGTACTCCACCGCCTGGAAAACAAGAAGCAACAACATGACACTAACAACACACAGAACAAGAACCTAATGTCGATTTACAAACATTTCCAATGTGTAACATTTTATAAGCTTTCAATGGTTATGAAGCAAGAAATCATTGCACAAACATTCCAGATCCCTTCCACATAATAAAGCATGATATTCTGGTGGAAATGGAGGTGATGTCCCGTTGGAAATCATTATTGATCCTTTCAGACAGCTATTTAAACACTATGTTGAGGACAAGTTGTCAGAACCCAGACCAGTTTAGAAATACAGTACAAACAAGGAATGTTGGAAATGAGAGGGAGTGAATGAGGGAGGAAGTATATTAAAGTTTACAGGGTGTGTGTGTGTGTGTGTGTGTGTGCTGGCAAAAGTGTGACCACCCTTCTAAATGCTACTGGCGCTTTGCTAAAAGCAATACAGTACGTCCCACAAGACCTAAAAACAGCATGAGGTTATTCAGTGAGTCTGATAATCAACACACACACACATGCTCACACACCTACTGATTAGCCACAGTTCTGAATGTAAAACAACTGTTTTCTTAATTCTTTACTTGAGAACCGGAACTGTGTTGTAAATATTAAGACATAAAAGTTTCTTAAGCTCACAAAGGCTGCATGTATTTGATAAAAAATACAGTAAAAAAGCAATATTGTGAAATATTATTGCAATTTAAAATAACTTTTCTAATTCAATATATTTTAAAATGTAATTTATTCCTTGATGCAAAGCAATTTTTCGTAAATTTTCATGAATTTTCTTCAGTGTCACATGATCCTTCAGAAATCATTCTAATATGCTGATTTGCTGCTCAAGAAACATTTATTAGTATTATTATCAGTGTTGAAAACTGTTTTTTTTTCTGCTTAATATTTTTGTGGACACTGTGATACATTCTTTTGTAACAATGTAAAAATCCTTACTGTCACTTTTGATCCAATTAATGCATCCTTGCTTAAAAGTAAAAGTCTCTTTTACAAATTTTTTAGTGATATCACATATTTTCTGTTTTATTCATTGCAAACCCACTTTTCTTGTCTAAAGAATAATTCTTACAGTTTTTAGTAAGGTTTACACTTAAGGGGGAAAAATATTTGCAAATGGGATAAAAACAAGCCCATATATATATATATATATATATATATTTATTTATTTATTTTTTAGTCCAGATATATTTTTAGAAACAAGTGTATTCTATATTATTCATTAGTATTACATTACTTATTGAAATAGATTAAAAATAAATATATTAAACTATGAATTAAATATATGAATAAATTATTAATTCTACTATTAATTATAAATGTAAATAATACCTATAATTTATATACAAATATCTTAATATTTATATTATATTAATACATTATTTACAATATTTATCTTACACACTTTTGCTTCTAAAATAAATCTCGGATGTTTAGATATGAAGTTAAACAAAATCCACCAAACAATAGAACACAAACCGTGAAAGCCAGTGTGTTGTAAGCTCAAGAACACAAATAGAAGACATTACAAAAGATCCTCATGGCGTTGTGCGCACTGTTACGCCTCCAGACCAGAAGGGAGACGTCAATTACCCAGCAGAGCTGAGAATGACATCACTCGCATGAGTAACATATCTACACCCAACATTCGGTCAGAACAACCAGTGTTCACTGGTCACGACTGCAAACTACTTCCACAAGAACACAACTTTACTCAATAATTAACTACACTGAGGGACGTTAATGTGATGGCATATTATTATCAGTGTTGAAAACTGTTTTTTTTTCTGCTTAATATTTTTGTGGACACTGTGATACATTCTTTTGTAACAATGTAAAAATCCTTACTGTCACTTTTGATCCAATTAATGCATCCTTGCTTAAAAGTAAAAGTCTCTTTTACAAATTTTTTAGTGATATCACATATTTTCTGTTTTATTCATTGCAAACCCACTTTTCTTGTCTAAAGAATAATTCTTACAGTTTTTAGTAAGGTTTACACTTAAGGGGGAAAAATATTTGCAAATGGGATAAAAACAAGCCCATATATATATATATATATATATATATATATATATATATATGTGTCATTTAATTAAACTACTTCAATGTGTTACTTGCCATTTATTTGCAGTTATTTGTGAAATATACTAGTGAAAAAGAGTGAAAAACGAGAGGTTTTCCACACCAAACACATATTATAATATAGATTATATTATTTTATTATATTATAAAATTCATATTTTCTATACCACACATATAATACAGATAATATTTAAAAAATAATATAAAAATTATTATAAAATATAATAAGACCTACACCCAACATTCGGTCAGAACAACCAGTGTTCACTGGTCACGACTGCAAACTACTTCCACAAGAACACAACTTTACTCAATAATTAACTACACTGAGGGACGTTAATGTGATGGCATGAAAACATAAACACAATCAATAACCTGCACCAGTTAATCATTCACACTAGGACCAGGACCACGTGTTAGGAAAGTAACCAGGGTCCACTGTAAACACACGTGACATTGCTGACAGCAGATCTCACCAGATTGTGGCTCTTCGCTGAGATGATCTTCGTGAGTTCAGGGTCCCACAGAACCAGATCGGCGTCTGAACCCACTGCGATGCGGCCCTTGCGCGGGTACAAGTTGAAGATCTTAGCGGCGTTGGTGCTGGTGACGGCCACAAACTGATTTTCGTCCATTTTTCCAGTTACCTACGAACGAGGGGGACCACAGGGAGAGATGAGTTTGTGTCGGTTGTGTTTGTGTTCACTTGAGTGTGCTTGTCTGTTCGGCTGGGACTATTTAGACTCACATGGCCACTGACTGGTTTT